AAATAAATCTTATGATATTATATATAATGAGTATAATTAATTACGCACGTTATATAAAAGACTAATTTTTAAAAAAAGTCACAACCTCTCAATTGAATTTTGTTTTTTCAAAAAAAGTTATACAAATATAACGAGTCATGTTCCCAATAAAACGAAAGAATCCAAATACAAGATCTAAAACGCAACATAAAGAAAACGACATGTGAATACTGATATTGGCCAACACCATATTCTAAGGTAGTATGTCGTTGATGCAGTAGCATATGGATATTGTTTTATTTATTATTTTTCTGGCTTCCATTAAAATATATTTATTAAATGATTTCGTGGTTGAAATTATTTCTTTACACTTAAAAAAAATGAAGAAAATTATAAATTATTATTTTATTTGTGTATATCCAACTGTGTATATATCTATCCAAATCTCTTGCATTAGGCAGATTCTTTAGTTGCCACTACGCCACTTCTCTTGGTCTCTAATCTACACTTTTCCTCTTTAACCGAAAGAACGTAGACGTAGACACTCTCCTGGCCACAAAAACCAAATTTTACAAGACGTGTCCCATTGGTTTCTGATACACACGTGGCACCTCCTGTATGGTTCTCAGTGGACCCCACTTTCTGCCTCATGGATGCGCTGTGGCTTATGTAAGTCCAAAAATACATTTGGCTTAAAATAATTTGCTGTTCTTTATTCCTTTTCTTGGCTTGAAAAATTAGAGGAAAGAACTTCACCTTTCCATTTCTATTTTTGCCAAAACTTGAATGTCAATAGATCCGGTCACGAGCCAGTTCCAAACCGGAATCAAGTTGGAATTGGTTAGGAATGATGGTTACATAATCTGGTTCGGAATAACTAATTTTAGAATATCATTGATCTCAATTCAAAATAAAACTAATTAAAAATGACAAAATTCGAAACTATGAATTAAATAGTTTTGATAACAAAAATGTTACAAACAAAGATAGAGTCGGTAGATTTATAAGTCGAACTAACAGAATTAGTCAGCTCTATGGATTGGCCAATTAGAAGAGTTATCCAACAATATATTTATTATATTATATTATATTATTATCTTAAAAAAAAATTAAAAACTACTTTCAACACTAATGAAAAAAGAAAATTAAGCTTGCTTATTACAGAAGTCTCTTCATGATTGGCAATCTTATAAGCCACGCATGAAAAATCATGCATTTGATGTACAACTAAAAATTACAACCGTTACATCTCTCCAACTAACGGAACTAATATTGACAGTTAGTGTGAGAAATTAATACTACTAATTATATTTAATTTGCCCAATCAAATTCTTAACAGGAAGTGGTTGTTAAGCTATTACTTTATGGCCAGTGAAATTAATTAATTAATTAATATATTTTTAATTGGAATTGTTATTAGTTACAACGTCTATAGCACCTTTTATAGAATTTTCTTGCCGTTTTGCTCCTCTTTCTTGGCTTTTAATTACCAAAAGTTGCTTCTACCGTATTGTTTATAGGTATGTTCATAATTTACATGTGTAGCTAAGTTCATAGAATGGCGTTTTTTCTACTCTTCAGTTCATATATAAAGCATGAATCTTCAAGCAATGGAATGTTACACGTAACAAAAAGGTGTATGTGGCTTCTTTATTTTGCTTATTGTCAAAACGTCAAAATCAGAACCATGCTTGGGCGATTTGTTTTTACCTTTTTAGGGGAAATTATAATGAAGTTGCTAAAGTTTCACAAAATTATTACTTCATCTCAATTGTTTAGAAAAATTATTATAAAATTCTAGAGGTTAATCCTATTAAACCACGCAGTGTCTGTTCGGCAATACTAGCTGTTGTAGTAGCTGTTAGCTGTTCTCGTAACTTTTAGCTATCAGATGTTAATTGTTAGCTGTTAAGTGTTTATGTAATGATTTAAAAGAAAAGTGCTCGGTAAAAGTAGATGTTTGATTAGCTGTTAAAATTAAAATGACAAAAAAAAAAAACATTAGAATATTGACTTAAAATTTTAAATTATAGGCATAGAACTGAAATGGACCAAAAAAAATAAGAGATATATGTATAAAACAAGAGTTTTTTTTTATTTTTTATTTCAATTTTTTCTATAACAAAATATTATTTCTTATAAAATTAAAATGAAAAGACAAGAAATTTTTTTTAATGTTATTTAATATATTTCTTTGAGATTTGAGAAAGAAAGATTAAATAAATAACAAAGAGTACCAAATTCAAAAGAGTGTTAATACAAGTAGAATTATAAGCCCTAAAAATAGGGAAAAAAAACAAAACAAATGGCTAAGAGTGTCAAAAACTAAAATTTAAAACGCTAAACATTGAGGGATTTAACGTTTGATGAAATACTCGCTAACCTCTAACAGCTGTTACAAATGTTAAGTTACCGAACAATTTAATTGATAGATATAGTGTTTTGACTCTAATAAAAACACTAAATGCTCCCTGAAACGATGTTGCCAAACATGCTCTTAATCTATTCATCAAAGAGTCTATTCGGTAAAATTAATTGTTTTGGTAGCGTTTAGCTGTTTACCTATTTTAGTAGCGTTTAGCTGTTTGAATAACTTTTTATGAAATGCTAAAAGGTAAATATTATAGGGGTAACCTTTTATAAAACGATACACTAACTTCTAAAAGCTAATTCAAATTTCATGTTACCAAACATTATAAAAACAGTGTTTAGCGTCCTACTTAAAAAGTTATTGCTGAACACAACCAAATTGTTATTTTTGCCGTTAAATACTCTATAATATTTAACTATTTGATCGTTTATATTTAATATATTGTTAATATTTAATTCCTTATATTTACTATTGAATTATTATTTATTCCCCTCACTTAGTAGCAAAAATGATATATTTTTATAGAAGGACTAAGTAGTTTAAGGACCAAATCTTAGTGACTTTATAGTGATTTTTTCAAATATTAAGAATTAATCAGTAATTTCAATAAAACCTCATAGACTTTATAGTAATTTACCTTTTTTATATATTTTTGTTATTAGCTATTATTCCTGTTATTAAGGTCAGTCATACTGTTAGTTGATCTTCAATTTCCCTTTCTTAATCTCATACTACAATTAATTTTGTGACGTTTAATAAAAAAATCAATTAGATTATAAAAATAACAATTTTTAGTAAAAAAATTAGAAAAAGTACATTCACTTGTCAATCAAATGAAGACAAAATGCTTAGGATTATAGATGATGATAAGTATCATGGAGTTGCATATTTTGGGGGCAAAAATTAGGGCTTCTCTTTCCTTAATTAATGTTTAAAGTAAAAGAAGGAACCAAATTCATAATCATTTGGTATAATACATGCCAGTTGGGTATTTCTTAAGCTACTCATATATTGTTAGTAATTCTAACTTCTAGCTAGCATGGACCAGTAATTTAGGATTTTTGTAAGTTTTGGGTGTAAGCATCCAAAATGTATATGATGATTCCTTCACTTGGAGGATATAAATCCTTCAAAAAAGTTTGAATATTAAATTATAAATGTATCATATAAAACCCTTAAATTTTAAGTAACTTTCATCCTTTTTTTTTTCACTTTTTATCCTAAATTTTGAAAAAGTGAAAATTTTACTTAAAAATTGGGTTATTAACTATCATCCTATAAATATCTCACCTAGTAAATTTCTAATATATATATAATTAGGGTTTATATATGGATACAATAACTTTTTTTCCATTTAGGTCCATATATAAAAAGACTTGACAATTTCACCATCAAAGGTTGTGTTTGACAATAATTTTTTAAGTAGTTTTTAGTGTTTTGACTAGTCAAAAAGCTAAAAATTGTTTTTTATAGCATTCGGTAATATAACATTTGAACTAGATTTTAGAGATTAAAGTAAAATTTTATGAAAAGTTAACCTATATAAAGTTTAGCTTTTAGTATTTCGTAAAAAACTACTCAAACAACTAATAATTAAATGTTACTCAAAAAACTAATAACTATTAAAAAAGGTAATTTTACTGAATAGACCCACAGAGAAGAGACGAAGAAAGACTTCATAATTCTAGAAGGCATTCATTATTTATGGTGTGATTCTTGATAATTATATAACAACTTGTTAAGTACTTTCCTAAACCAATTTCAAAGAAAAGTTGCACATAAGAATAATGTTAACTTATGTAACTCATTTTGGAAAAGTAGTCTCAAAATGTTCGTAACACACCAACTATTTTAGAAAAGAAAGTTCCAAGCTTGGAAGAAAAATAATTGTTATTGCTAATATAATAGTACAATTTTCATGTGAATTCACATTTATATAACTTTTAACTTTTTATAGAATATCATGAATTCACGTTATCCACATAGATTGGCATCACATCATAATGATAATGTGAAACCAAGGTGCGATTGACTAATTATTAAATTGCAAAATTAACCAATTGTTAGTTCCTACACAATAATTTGACTTTTGACAAAATACCCATAGGAAAGACTTCCAAATTTTTGACATACACAAACAAAAGAAAAAAAAAAAAAAATTTAAAAGATACTAAAATTCAACTTCTTTTGGTGGTTCAACTTCAACTTCAACTCATCCATCCCCCAACCCAACCCAACCCAACCATGAACCACCAAATCTAATTTTCAATTTCTTACCCCTCAAATACAAAAATACAAAATAAGGTATCCTATCCAACAAGTTGTGTACATTATTACAATTATCAATTATGAGTTATCTTCTACTACTACCCTTATCCAATCCTTTTCCCCATTCCTTCTACCGAAACATCTAAAACAAGTACTATCCTATTTGTCCAATCTCCATTATTTTGACACGTGTCCACCTACCACCTTGCCACGTCATTCTGTTTTTGGAGGCCAAGGCTGTCAACCGTACCAGAATTTTAACACGTTGTCCACTCCTTGATAAAGGAATTGTCAAATGGAAAGAATAGGAGAGAGAGAGAAAGACTCAACTACTCAAAAAAATTAAAAAATAAAAATGGAGCCTTTATATATAAAGAGGTTAAATAACCAACTCAAGATAAGCCCAACAAAGCCGAAAACATTTTTTCCATTTCTTTCATATTTTCTCTGCTTACAACACATGGACTGGACAAGAGGCCATACAATAGGCCATGGCTCCACAGCCACCGTCTCTCTAGCCACTTCTCTTCAATCCGGCAACGTTTTTGCCGTCAAGTCCGCTGAGCTATTCCAATCTGAATTCTTGCAAAGAGAGCAAAAGATTCTTTCTTCTTTGAACTCTCCTTATATAGTTGGCTATAGAGGTTGTGAAATTACTAAAGAGCACAACAAAGTTATGTACAATCTTTTACTGGAGTACATGTCCGGCGGTACTCTTATTGATGCAGTTAAAGCTCACGGCGGTGGTGATGGCCGGAGAATCGAAGAATCGGTAATCGGATATTACACTTGTCAAATTGTGAAAGGTCTTGATTACCTACATTCTAGTGGATTAGTGCATTGCGACATCAAAGGTAGGAACATTTTAGTTGGAGAAAAAGGCGCCAAAATTGCGGACTTCGGGTGTGCTAAACGGATTGACCCGGTTGAGCCAGCGGATAAAATTAGCGGCGGTACGCCCATGTTTATGGCACCGGAGGTGGCGCGTGGGGATGAACAATCGTTTGCTAGTGATATATGGGCTTTAGGTTGTACAATTATTGAAATGGCTACCGGTGGTGGTGCACCGTGGGTTAATGTGAATGACGCGGTTTCTGTTATTTATCGGATTGGATTTTCCGATGAGTTGCCAGAATTTCCTTGTTGGTTATCGGAGCAAGGAAAGGATTTTTTGGATAAGTGTTTAAGGAGAGATCCAAAAGAAAGATGGACAGCTAAGCAGCTTCTTACTCATCCATTTCTGGAGAGCTTCAATTCCAACGTAAAACAAATCCAAGAATCTAATTCAAGTTCAAATTCTCCTACAAGCATTCTTGACCAAGGATTTTGGAATTCACTAGATGAACTAGAACCGGAATCAGAGACTTCAGAAAATCTGGACCACAAAAGTTCAGCTAGTGAGAGAATTAGACGGCTGTGCCTGGTTTCATCAGAGGGACCCAGTTATGATGATGACGATGATGAGAATTGGATTTCAATTAGAGGAAATTGTAAAATTGAAGACAAAGATGATGTGATTAGTTATGGTTCAGTGTACCAAGAAAGCAATATTGGTGGTAGTGAGCAATTCTTGGACGTTAATAGAAGTAGGTTAAGTGAGGATTCTTTAGGTGGTTGTAAATATGGGAAAGATAGTTTTTTAGTTAGTAGTGATCTACTTAGGTTTGATAGAGACAAAGATGTGTTGTTAATTCCTTCTATTTCAAGATTATACTTACAAGTCTAAATTCATCTTTCTTGAATCTTATTCTTTATTTATTTATTTATTTTGATAATTCTTTAAAGAAATGGACAAAATAGTGGCATTTGGGAGCTCAAACCTAACCTAATCTTGCAGTTCGTTCCAATTGCCACAATCTAAGGCAACTGTCCTTCCCGGTGACTCTCATAGTTGTATTTGGATTGAGGCGTCTCCAACCAACAATTTTTTGATTTTAACTTTAATGTTTTTACAAAAATGAGATTATATAAATACCCCAAAATTTAATTTTATATATAAAAAATTTAGTATCACTTCCATGCGATTTGGATATGGGATTTGATTATATTTATTTAATTCAATTATAAGCAAAGTAATTTTTAGTTGACCAACACATTAATAAACACATATTCTTTTCATCTCATGAGAATATAATCGTTTATTCCAATTGATAGTTTTTATTTTTTTCTTTTTAGAAGAGAATAATATTTTTTATATTTAATCTAGTTTAGTAATTTTTTTAATAAACATACAATCATTATTATTATTATTATTTAAATCTTAATTAAAATAGACAAATAATTGAATACAAGTCTTTCATATTATTATTATTATTATTATTTTGAGAACGCTTTCATATTACTTAGATTAGGAGAAAATTATGAAGTTATAGAATTACTTATTTCCTAAGAATTATACTATCCGGAAAGTTATACTTTTCTAGTCTACTATCGAAGAGCAATTTCTCGGGTTATTTCTAAGAAGGAAGTTATTTCTTTGTATAAAAAAAATTAAAAAATTATCATGAGAGTTATTCTAGTAGAAATGACTTATATGACTTAAATTAAGAGGTGGAGTGTAACTACAGAGATTCCTATTCGTCTGGTCCAATGGTCCACGGACAGATAATATACACCAAAAAGGAAAGTTAGAAAGTCGATTGAAAATGCAAAAGAAATAAAAAAATAATCCAATTTTGATGGACCGACAAAGTATTCCAAAATTTAGGTACTAGTTAGTACGACACGTGGTAAGTGAAATTTAGAAGTTGGGCATTGGCAATTGGGTGTGGCGTTGTTCATAAATGAGGTGCCAATTTAAGAGTATGCTCTGCTGTGTTTGTTTCTTTATGGGCAGTTAGAATTTGGAGCGGAGGAGGAAAGAAAGACGCCAATTGGCCGACCTCTCCTTCACCAACAGAACCTATAGGCCTTAGGCCTTAGCCACGTCTTCTTCTACTGGTTTGTTTGGTTCTGGTTCTGGTTCTGGTAGGTAAGTGTTGGGATTTAATCCCAATTTGGCCACACTTAACCACTTTCCTCTCACCACCTGGCGGTTGGTAAGCTAAGCTCAGATTCTAATCTTATACCAAAACCAAATCGAATTACTATTATTTTTGCAATTATATGGCTTTTTTAGCACGTGCTCCATGCTTGAATTTAGATGGTATTGAAGCAAAACTTTTTAATAATAACCACTTTAAATTTCAAACTCTTATTTTACATATAAAATTTGTGTAAAATTACAGTACATTCGATAAAATTAACTATTTTAATAGTTATTAACTGTTTAATTACGTATAGCTATTAGTTATTTGAGTAGTTTTTCATAACACATTAAAAGTATTTTTCATAACACGCTAAAAGTTACACGCTACATAAATTAACTTTTTATAAAATTTTATTTTAATTTTTAAAAACTAGTTCAAATATTATGTTACTGTGACCAATCAAAAAGCTAAAAACTACTTAAAAAGTTATTGCCAAACACAACTATAGCCTATTACCATTTATTCAATCACTTGATATAACTTAATTATAACTTCATTAAAGAAAATATATGTTTAATCCAATTTATCCACTAAAAAATTTATATTAGTAAATAATCAACTCATTGAAAATTTTTTTTGACTCCACGATCATATGTATATGTAAAGAACACGTAACGATGACATATCCTCAAGGGATTTTTCAATCTTGAATAACTATGCTAAAAGGATACAAACACATCATTTATTGTAATCACACGTGCATATTAAATAATTAATGGCATCGAATTCTAGATGAAGAAAAGAAATTTAATATCACTAAAAATGAAAGTTGATTTATATAAAACCATTAATATAAAATAGTGTTGAAACTTGCAACGACAATAAAATTGTAATGCATTAGAGTAATTTTATACTACCCACGTACGCATATCACAAATAAATATAATCACACGTGGAATATTTAATTAAATTGTTCTATAGATATAGCTATATTTTGTTCAACCATCATTAGTGATACAAATACATCATTAGACACTCTTTAATGTCCATTTATTAGGTATTTTTCACAATAATTAGTAGGTTTAAATGGTTGAGTTTTCACTGTATAAAATTAATGCATGGGGCTGAAATTTGTAGGACTTGTACCCTTCATTTCATGCTTAAGGTCCCAATTTCCTTCCACAAAATTGTTTTAGAGCCTGAAAGTCCACCTTTAAGCACACCACACCCTTTGGAAATAAAGAAAGGGGAATCACTTCTTTGGCCTTAGGTCAAGACTTCAAACTTCCGTAAGTTTCTAAAAGATTCTTGAAAGCAAAGCCATCTTTACAAATAACAAAGAGAAAAGAAACAAATTAAAAGAGAGAGAAAAGTTCTTTGATGGAAAGTTTTGGATACAACTATGTTCTTAATAACTAGCCTAAGATACCTTATTGTATAAGCAAACAAGCAACAATAGAAACAAAAACTGATTAAGTACCTTAAGGAATTCAAAATAATTAAAATATTTATACAATATATTCCTTCCATGCCATATACATGGGCTCATTTTTCTTTTTCGTCTGTCCCAAAATATAGTCGATTTCAGTTTTTAAAAAAATCATTTATTATCTAATTTATTAATATTTTCCTATTTAATGTACATATTCCCAATTCATATTCATCATTTAATATTATAAAAAAATATTTTGAAAAAAAAATATAATTCAACTATATTAATTAATTTTTCTTATTCATTTATTATCTAATTTTATTAAATTATTTTCCTATTGTAATGTACATATTGCCCAATTCATATTCATCTTTAATATTAAATAAAAAAATATTTTGAAAAAAAATAATAATCAACTATATTAATTTAATTTTTCTTAATTCGATGTGAAAGTAAAATTAGGTATATATATAATAGTATATATATATAGTATATATATATATATATAGTGGACGGAGGGAAGTATTTCATCAAAATTGAGGGGTAGATTAGATTACTAAAACTTTGGGTAAAGTACATGAGTTGAAACTTCTAGGAGTTTCCGATTCATCTCAATGAATTACTAGAACTTTGGAAAATTAGTTCCTTTTTTATCATTATTTTTTCTTTTTTTTAGAACTTCGGAGTATTTATTCTTAGGACCAAAAATTCAATACCGAATATTCTGTTGCAGAAATAATTAATTGCTACCTCACTTTATAACTTCTTCTCTACTCGCTCATTGTAAAAGATAAGTGGTTTAAGATTTTTGTATGGAATTAGGAAAGTTGTAACAGCCCGGCCCATGGTAGATATTGTCCGCTTTGGGTGCCAAACCTGGCCTGAACCCTCACGGTTTTGTTTTTGGGCCAGGGAAAACCTCCGCTCTGTGGGGCCAGGAAAACCTCCGCTCTGCCAGCCCAAAACACGTCTTACACAATGTTTCAATGGTTTGCCACCGGCTTTAATGTTTAAATAAGGACTTCCACTTGTGCCGTAGCCGATGTGGGATTCGGCCTAGGTGTTGTGGCCCGTCAAACCTGGGAATGTCACAAAAGTAATTAATTTCTTTTAATAAATTGTTTCTTTATCCCGAACTTAAAGGTAAATTATAAGCGATAATATGCAATATAATATCAATAAGGTAAATTAAAAATATCATCTCTAATTTGGTCATTATATTATGGGTTATATATTATTATATATTATATATATATATATATATATAGTTAATATATATATATAATATATATATATATATTATAGTCGTTTAGCACAATTATTAATAGTTAAAATTATAAGCAATATATAATTACTCTCTTCATTCTCAAATACTTGTCTATTTATAGATTGTACAAATGATAATTTTTTTATTTTTATCCTTTATATTCGACCAATAGTGATTGCTTACTTTCTTAATAATTTATTACACTCTCTGTTCCACTTTGATAATATTTTATCTTATTTCCATTTTAAAGTGCTCATTTAGGATTTTGAGCATATATTAATAATTTTTTTAAAATTTTATCCATATTTATTAGGTGTTTTGTGGTAAAATTAAATAGAAAGTCTTTAATTTTAAAAAGGACAATTTAGATATTCTACTATAGATTTTTAAAAAATTAATGTATTCCAATCATTTTCTTAATCTCTGTGAAAAGATCAAATCTTGCTATTAAAATGGAATAGAGAGAGTATAACTTAGAAAAATTAAGGATAATATAGTCAATTCACTCAATAATTTATTGTAATTTAGATAAATTGAATGATTTTCTCAAGGGATATGAAATCTCAAATGTGACCAGTATTTGGGAACAGAGGAAATATAATATAATATTTATGAGCTTAAAATGTTTAACACTTATATATATATTTTTAATATCAGTCTTAAACAAAAATAAATTATACTAATATATTCTCTTCATCCTCATATATTCCTCTTCATGCCTCTATATATATAATATATATATAATATATAATTATATATTATATATATATATATATATATATATATATATATATATACTCACTTTTCTTTTCGTTTGTCTCAAAATGTAATTCTATTTTTCTTTAAAAAAAAAATAACTTATTGTTTAAATTTCTTGATGTATCCCTATTTAATATATGTTATATATACTCACTTTTCTTTTCGTTTGTCTCAAAATGTAATTCTATTTTCTTTAAAAAAAAATCACTTATTGTTTAATTTCTTGATGTATCCCTATTTAATATATGTATTCTCAATTCTCAATTGCATATATATTATTTAATATTAGTAGAGGTTTAAGAAAAATTAAATAAAAATATAATTTAACTATATTAATTAGTCTTCATAACTCGTATATTTGCGTAACCTGACTCTCTTCAAAATCTAAAAGCTCTCTTTTCTTCTTCCACATGCGGCTAGGGGTATTAATGAGTCGAGCTGAACTCGAATCTCTCAGTCTTGAAACTCGGACTGATAGAATTTAGCTCGGTTCTAAACTTAACGAGCCTAAAAATTTAGGCTCGGGCTCGGCTCGTTGAAGGCTCGGGCTCTAAGCTCGAGCTCGGGTCGAGTTCGACCCAAGCTCGGTTCAAGCTCGACTTCAACTTGAAAAATTTTAAGCTCGAGTAACCTAAAATAATATTATATATATGTATATATAAAAGCTTAATAACGCATGACAACACTCGACGAGCTTTCGAACTGAACATCATTAGGCTTGAGCTCGACTCGATTGCTAAACTTGCAGGCTCGAGCTCGAGCTCGATTTGAGCTGAACCTTTTCGAACTTTTTCAAGTCAAATTCAAACAACTCATGAGCTGGCTCGACTCAATTACACCCCTATATGCGTCCATCAGTGGTCGCTGCTTTTCCTTCTTTATGTTTTTTTTTTTATTTATTTAAATAATCCTCAAATTTGTATTTTTTAGTATAAATTTGAGTTATTGTTGCCATATTTTGAGTTTTTTTTTTTTTTCTTCAGATGTAGTCATTTTGACAATTTCTGAGTTATAGTTATTACCATTATGGTGATTTTATTTGTAATATTGTGGACTCTGCTTAAAAAAAATGGCTCCACATTGTGTCAAAGCCCAAAAACTCAAGGGACGATGGAATGGTCAAGGCTCACCCGAAGAACAGGAGTTGCTACCCACATGAAATCTGGAACAATTGTCACATAGTGATTAATTTTTCGTAAAGAGCCCAACCGCTTAATGAGAGTCTGGATAACAAAGTTGGGTATGAATTTTGGAAGGTGTTAAGCACCCAAACCCACCCGGCCATGGTGCCGGCCTCTGCTTTGTTGATTTATCTAAGTAAGAGTTGATTTTAATTTTAAGCATGATTTATAAAACATCCTTCTGAAAATATTCTAATTTTAAAAATAAAAGTAGATTGTTTTTATATTAATATGACATAATCACAAGCATAAAAATAAATTTAAACATCCACAACAAATAATTAGGCATATAAAAAAAGGAATAAGGATAATAAAATTACATTCCAATTAATAAAAAACCTACAACTAATTAATTAGTTATTCCCAAATTATCACTCATTCGACAAATATTACATATGTGCCATAATTTGACTATCCCTAAATTATAGTCTAAACTATGTTTACTATCTTCTTGCATGAAAAAGGACTTTTGATTTCAAAACCTTATTTAAAGAGAAGTACTGGATTTCAACCACAAATTAGAGTATGAGATTTTCTTTTATAAAGGGGCTTAAACCTTCAATTCAAGTAGACACGATCAGGATTTAATAATTTTAAAGAAATCTCTCTCTCTTTTTTTTTCTTTTTTTCTTTTTTTCTCTCTATTGACTTAAAGATCAGTGTCTGCAGGATAGCCCTCCAACATTCATAGTTGATATTCTATACTGGCGATCACCAAACAAGTCAAACCTATAAACACCTATGTAAATATTAATTGGCAATGTTTGTAGGAAACCTTATTAATAATAGATTCTTGAAATAGCCCACTACAGCCTTGTTATAGTTATTAGCGGTTGTAGTTCCGCAATTTCAGTGGTTCTAGTAGATATTCGTTGTTGTAGTAGCTATTAACAGTTAGATATTAGCTGTTAGTGGTTAATTGTTTATGTAACGGTTTTAAAATAAAAGTGTTTGGTAAGAATAAGTATTTGTTTAACTGTATAATATAAAAAGATAAAAAAAAGATAAGGTTATAGAGAACAAGATAAAGGCAAGTGATGGACATAAACTTGATAAAAAATTTATAAAATACTAAATGTTAATGATGATAACATTTCATGAAACACTGCCCTCAAACTCTAAATTTTATGATAAATATGACATTACCGAACATAATAATTAATTAAAACAGTGTTTTAACTCAATCAAAATACTAAACACTACTCCAAACGCTCTTGCCATAAATGGACGAGTTTGAAGAGGTTCAATCTTCCAAGAAAGGTAAATAAAAATAACCTATTTTTAGCATAGACAATTTTTCTAATAAAGATAAGGAATCAATTAATCCACAATTGATAAAAATTATTTATTATAAATTCTAATTAGTTTTTCCTAAATGCTTTTAATAACGGCAGCTATATTATTATATTATGGGCAAAATATTAGTAAAAAATTATAATAACAAAATTAAATCAACGAGTTAAAAAAAAAATAGTAATATCCAGAAAAAAGAAAAGAAGAAAAATTGGAGGGTGACTTTGTAATTACAGACGGAAGGAGCGCCAATTTTAAGTAGAGTGACGTTATTTTTCCTCGTCCATTCATTTTCTTTTAATTTCTCAATGTGGAAATCAACTAACCACCAAAATTCCTTTCTCAAAATCTCAAAACCTCAAATTTCAAATCTTCTCTTTATGGGAGTAAAAGAATTAACACAACCATCAGTAGGCAGTGGCCGCAGAAACAATGCTCCTTCAAGCCCTTACATCGACCCCTTCCTTTCCCCATTTTCATACTCATTATCGTCGGCAGAACTCTCTGCGCCTGCGTGTTGCTCTCATCGGTGAGTTTCCCGTTTGGGTTAAAGATTCTGAATTGGATTGAATTGTTTTGAGAATTATACAATTCTAACTCGTTTTGGTTGTCTGGCTGAAATTCTTTTTGTTACAGTTTCAAGATTGAATGGAGTAATGAGAACGTCTCTTTCGGAGAGAAGGAATGGAGGAATGGCGATTTCAGCTTCCAATGTTGAAAGATCAAATATCAGTGTGGAGAAAAAAAGGTTCAAATTCTAGTTGATTGTTGATGGATGATTTGAGAAACAGGGGAATTCTAATGTAAATTATTAATTTAAATACCTAATATATATGTGCATTGATTGGATGAGTAATGTTTGAATAATTGTTAGAAGGAAAACTTGTAGTTTGGGAACTGAATTTATTCTTTTTGTATTACTATATTTCTAGTTGAGTAGTTGGTGATTAACTTGGCTAGGGTGTGTGCAAGATTAAGCAACACTTGAAGTTGCTGCCGTAAATGGCTATTTATATATAGGTAGGAAGTCAAGGAGTTTCACCCTTTTTGGTTAGTCATATCTGCAGGGTGCTTAAGGATAGATGACTCGTTTTCATGCCATGTAAAAAGTGAGAGTTTTTAGTTTTTTGAGGTATTTATCGGATAGAAATTTAGGATTCATTTGGAGAACTACTTTTCTTTCTTTCTTTCTTTCTTTTTTTCCTTTTTTTTTAAAGAAATATATTAGCAAAAGCAAAATCAGCAAGTTTGCCATGTGAAGCCTTGATTCATTACCATAAAGCTTTATTATTGCCAAGCTCTTCATGATTTGAATTTGCATATTATTATTGAAAGGTTGCATTTTAACCTACCTAGTTGCCAATTATTATCATTCAAAAGATGAATAAGAATAAAAATTCATTCTATGATGGAACTAAGATAACCAGAACTTACAACATTTTTCATCATGTTGATTTATTTTATGCCTTCTTTTGCAGAAGTAATTCATTGGGGCTATGAATGATTTCTAGAAAATGAAAAAAAGAAAACGTGAAATTTATCTGCTTCTATTTCACATGTTGCATATAGGCGTAGTTTACTTCAGAATAGATAACTCATGCTTTTGTCCATAATGTGGCATTTTTATATCCATATCATCTACATTAATTTTTCTTAGCTTCCCTTATTTACAGGCATTATATTTTCTTTAACATGCTAATTCATTATGGCATATATGTGTCTAGAATTGTCCACAAAAAATTGTCTAGGACATTATGTGAGACTGACAGATCTTAGTTCCTATCAATTTCTGGCAACGTGATGTCCAAAAAACCATCTTCTTTTCTTATCATTGCACTCCTCCTTAATCTTAGACCATGGAAGAGTTTATTTTTGTCTATTCGTTTCTCTGAACTAGACTTTTGTGCATATGTAAGTAATAATAGCTCTTGTATGAGTTTGGCTTTGCAATCAGATGCTCATTCATTTTATTCGGGAATGTGAAATTTATTGTTCTCTGCTCATAGAAAAGTTGTGGAACATGTATGTCTGCTCAAAGCAAAGCAAAATTTGTCTGAAGAGGATGAGAATGACATGCTAGATTATTTGTACACTTCCCAATATCAAATGCGTGGAATTGTAGCAATATCTTTGGGTGAGTTTCATTTGGACTACCCAATTACTTTTTCATTTAACTACAATTGTTTCCTGTAATTTGGACTCCTATTACTTGACCCTGTGTATCATTTAACTACAATTGTTTCCTTTATATCATTGATTTCACATAGTAAGTTGATGATGCTTGTTAGCAATCTATGTTTGAACTAGTAGAAGTTGAATATGATTGTTCATTTGCCTCCCTTTTCTTAAGAAGGCCTTTAGATCAATCCCCCAGTTACCGATTTCATATGCCTCTGTTATATGAGCCCAGCATTCAGGAATTGATTTTGTGGCCTGGGCTAGGTATGCATATATATTTAATAAATCGTTTTATTGTCAAATCAAATTCTCATGTTGATGTCTTATTTTCTTCTGTAGGACGCATCTCCAATAACACTGTAGAAACTTATACTCATGCTGTTGTCATGCGTTTCCAAAGAAAGGAAGATGTTGAGAAGTTTTATGAGAATCCTTTCTATTTGAGAGTTCTCAAGGAGCACGTAATGCCTTACTGTCATGTATGCCCTGACATGTAAACACCAAAACTATATTACTCAAAAATTTTTATTTCCTCTCATTTCCAATCATATAACCTTGTATTTGTTTATTTTTGCTCAGGTGCTGCTTATTTGACTCAAGTTTGCTTCATATTTTCAGGGATTAATTAATGTAGATTATGAATCTGAAGTGGAAGATGATATTCTTTCTATATTTCGTAAAGGAGAGGTCTGAAGTTATATGCTTAAAATATCTTTTAGGTTCTTATGAATTGTTGGAAGACATTTTTGAATGAAAATAAAAAAAATCTTCTGTATGTATTTATGTTCTTTAACTTGTTGAAATTGAATTTTCGTCCAATGTGGGAGACATTTATATTTATTATTTTACCCTGTTACTTACTCCTGACCTTGCAATATCATTTGGCTGGTTTATGGTTTATTCTGGCAATATCTGATATGGAGTTGAAATGCTTCCTGGTGGCAGGAGTTCAATTATGGTGTGGAGTTTGTTCATCTCATGGCATTCAATGATAGTGCATTTGGTGCACCCATAGAAGATGCATTGGTATCGCTTGAAAAGTTGACAGAGGAGTTTCCATCCTTAATTGTCCAATCTACTCATGGTAAGTTTGAACTTTGAAACACGTGCTTGCTATTTTTTTTCCTAGTCACTCTGTAGCATGTTGTCTTGTAGTTCTATCAGACTATTCATTTCATTGGCCAGTTAGGGAATCTATCTGACATGTGATCTAATTATCGAAGATATTTTTATTGCTTATCTGCAATTAACACGTTTTGCTGGGAACCAAGCAAGTCAACATTTCTCATTATGTGACACAAATATTATCTCTTGTTTGCATGTGATTATCAGGTTCCAATTTTAATAGCAGCAGTCAGGAATATACACATGGGGTAGTGACGAGATTTCGATCATGTAGGTTTCCCTTTAAATTCTGTAATGTCTGGTTATTTGTGCTCTCTTTTTTCACTGCTAATTTGTTGGGTTATTTTGCAGTGGAGGCATATGAGATGTTTGTAGGCAGCAAGGAGTACAAAGATGTAAGAAGCTCAATCATATCAATGGATGTGACTTTTTCTTTTGTTAACCTTTCTGGAAATATCTATTTTCATTTCATCTGGCTTGAATATATGCTTGATCTTACCTGTTCCCATATGGTAGAGTCCCTACTTATGGATCGAGTTATGGGTCGGTTGGAAGTTGGTGTTTGGGTGTTTAGGCTAGGGGTTTTCCTTGAACGACCTATGGTGGAAGTTCAGAAATCTACAGACTCGTCAAAGGTAGACTGTGACCTTACAAAGAACTTAATTGGGTTTAATCATATCCTTTATTTCATGAGTTCTGCTGAATATATACACAAATAGCAGACTAACTTTTCCTACAGAAATCTACAGACTCGTCAAAGGTAGACTGTGGACCTTACAAAGAACTTAATTGGTTTTTAATCATATCCCCTTTATTTCATGAGTTTATTTCATGAGTTCTGCTGAATATATACACAAATAGCAGACTAACTTTTCCTACAATCAAGGAGCAGAATCCTAAGTGGAGGATCACCCTCCCACTACTGCATGAATAAAGAAAGTGGAGGAACTACCTCCTACATAACAGGAAATAAACAGAAATGCAAAATAGAATTTGAATGACTAATTCAACAGCTCAATATGTGGGGGCTTAGGCCTGCGTGGTAGACCTTCAGTTGACTGCTAACATTACTTCCCTCCCCCTGAGGAAGCTTGTCCGCAAGCTTAAAATATGGAAAGCGGGTGTGGATGTCTTGAACTGTCACCCAAGAAGCATCGGCAGGTGAGGAATTGCGCCAATGGATCAAAACTTCTGGAATTCCGCCTTTGAAACGATAGTCCAGTACAACCAATGGAGTGATTGGGTCCTCTTGTGGAATGAATGGCAGAACCGAGACTGGAGAAGACTACCCAGCATGATAGGCCTTGAGATGTGAGACATGGAAGCATGGAAGACAGGGTGCAGTTTAGAATCAGCCGGAAGATCAAGTCTGTATGCCATAGGGCCAATGCGCTCCAGAATTTTAAAGGGGCCATAGAACCTGGCCGAAAGTTTTTGATTGCTCTGTTTAGCAATGGACTGCTGTTTGTAAGGTTTCAGACGCAGCAGAACCATATCTCCCACCTGAAACTCCAAGGGGCGATGGGACTGATCGTAGGTGGATTTCATTTTCTGTTGAGCATGGATCAAGTTGTCCTGAAGTTGCTGTAGTATCTCATCCCTGTGAAGAAGAACAACATCCACAGCTTGAATGGTTGAACTTCCAGGCAAGTAAGACAGCAAACGTGGAGGAGGACGTCCATAAACCAGCAAACGTGGAGGAGGAACGTCCATAACCGTTTCAAAACGGAGTAGATTCAAAGAGGAATGGTAGCTCTGGTGTTGTAACAGTATTCGGCCCAAGCCCAAGATAACCAGTCTATCCACTTGTTTGGAGCTGAACTAGTGAAGCACCGAAGGTACATCTCAATAGTACGATTGACGACCTCCGTTTGACCATCGGACTGGGGATGGTAAGAAGAACTGAAGCACAGTTTAGTACCACTCAGTTGGAATAGTTCCCTCCAAAAGGTGCTGGTGAAAGTCACATCCCTGGCACTAATAATGGTTTCCGGCAACCCATGTAACTTGAAAATATTGTCAAAGAAAGTGCGTGCGACACTCACAGCAGAGTATGGATGTGATAAAGCCAGAAAATGACCGTATTTGGAGAAGCGATCAACTACAACCAATAGCACGATTTTTCCTCGCGAAGTTGGAATCCCTTCGATGAAATCAAGTGATATGTTTGCCCATATTTGAGTGGGAACCGACAAGGGAAGAAGGAGAGAAGGAGCCCGGCTGGTTGTAAGGTTTCTGTTTTATGCCTTTGACATGTATCACAAGAACGCACAAAGTCCCGCACCATTTGTTTCATTCCGCTCCAGTGAAAATCTCTGGTGATGCGATATAGGGTTTTCTGATAACCTTCATGGCCTTGGTTGTGGAGGGCAGCAAGGACCAATTGAATGGAAGGGGAATTTTGAGGGAGGTAAACCCTGTTGTTGTAGAAGAGTAACCCATCCTTAAAGACCCATTTTTCTGAAATGGACTTGTTGACGACTGCAGATATCCGCTGCTGAATTTCTTTGGACTGTTTGTGTTCCTGCCTGATTTCATCAAACAAGCTTAAATGAGGCATAGAAATAGCCAAGAGAGTTGATTGATCCGCATCTCGGCGTGAAAGGGCATCGGTCACAATGTTGGTCTTTCCTGTTCTGTATTCGACGGAAAAAGAAAATCCCAGTAGTTTGCTTATCCAATGTTGTTGCGCAGCTGAAAGATGACGTTGCTCCAATAAATATTTGAGTGTAAAGTGATCAGTACGGACGAC